ACATAGTTCGGCTGCTTAACTGGCATGGAGAGAAAAAAGGAGACCTACCTGGACTCTTGTCTATGAAGTCTGGGATTTGGGTTTTGAAATGGTCGGCATCGCTGGAACCACCTAGTCCAGATTACTATGTCGTAGAAGTCATGTCTACTCACCAGTGAGGACAACACTAAGGCATACCTCTTGAGAAGAAAATTGGTTATGTTGATCAATCTGATTACATCTACGAATAGTGTCATCATCATATCGAATGAACAATTCCAGGACAGACAATGGAGTCCAATGGTTGTTGTCACGAGTTTATTTCATTATTTTACAGAACTATATACAAGAGCCACAATTACATCGACTGTGGAAACAGATGGTCGGAGCGCGCAGTGAGGTGAGCAACTGGATAGAAGCATGTCCACCTAAAAGTGGAGTTAGCCATGGTCTGACGTCATGTAGGTTGGGGACAGTGGTCAAATGCCATGTTGCCAAATGCCACAATCTAATCTTTCATATAACATTTATTTGAGTTTATTCCTTATTCTACTCTGTAAATGTAATATTGCCGTCTTCCTCCACAACTCTTTAACTTCTAAAAATTTGTATATTTGTGTTAAACTAATATAAAATAGTACATAGTATGACATTTGGTTGCTATTAATTCTGATTAACACTTTTAGTGAACATTACAAATTTAATATAGAGTTTGTATACTTTTAACAGAATTATTAAATTTTATTAATATTTATTAAAAGACACTCCAACGGTTTTCTTGTAAGTAATCAACAGAGATAATACAGAATAACTTTATTGATTGAGAATTCAATAATAGAATCATTATAACAGGATTAAAAAGTATTATAAGAATCAAAGTATTGTTACTAATATAAATATATTTTAAATTATTCAACGGAATTAACAAATATGAGTTTTAATTTACTTCTTCCAATACAAAAATCTTTTATATTTATATAAATAATAAATTTTACCATTGAAGAATAAATGTGTTTAATATTTATTTTTTATGAAAATTTATTAATATAAATAATAAAATATTAATTTATTAATAGCTTTCTAATAATGCAAAAGAAATAACTTCTTCTGCCAGTGGGTATGTAAGTTCTACTTGTTCTTTACAATCATTTTTATAAATCATTTATTATATTCTTACTGAGTGTCCAAAGATTGAAGAAGCGTAATGTAAATTCAAATTAAAAGAGTTTTTTGATTTAAATTAAGAAGAAAACTTCAGAACCAATCAAGAAAAAATTCCATAGTATAAGATGTATAATATTCATTACTTTTTTGTTCATATTTTAAAGAATTTGAAATATGATATGTAAATTGAATGACTAATATGTTATGTTTAGCAAATTTTATGTAACAAGATATTTAAAAAAAATATGTTTCAATAAGTAATTGTATTTTTTGTAATTCTCTAAAGCTAACCCCCTGTAACAAGAAATTTCTTATTACAATAAAGTATTTGTATAATGCAAAAGAAATTAACATAAAATATTTTTCACAAATAAATATTGATGATTTTGCAAAATCATGTAGTAACAAAAGTATTAGACCAATGATAAGTTTCACTGATGAAAAGTCAGTATTTGATGCAACATCCCTTAACATAAATGTACCTGATTTAAGGTTTGATTTTTCAAACATTTGTATATTTTTCAAGAAAATCTCAGGCAGAGTATAAATGAAGTGAGCTATATAGATATTAAGGAGAAGATTATTCTTAAAAAAACAATATTTAAGTCAGGGACAAACATCAGAACAACTTAATATAAGCAAAAATGCTGTGCAATAGAATAGAATTTTTAAAAAATATCAAGACATTGATTCAACAAGAAATAGGAAAAGAAGTGGAAAACCATCCATGACAACTAAAAAAAAATAGAGAAATGAGATAACTTTGCAAGAATAACTGACATGATACTGTTTCTGAGCTGTTACAGAAGTGGGAAAAAATGTTTCTAAAGGAACTGTACACAGATGTTTTCACTCAATAGAATGTGTTCAGAAAGGCAAAAAAGCCATTTATCATCCCAGCTCAAGCTGGGAAATAACTAAAATGGGTAAAAGAGCATCAACTGGAATCTAGATGACTGTAAGTGGATTATATTCTCAGATGAACGCCAAGTATCTATTGGATTTGTTGATGATGGGCTGCATGGAAAGTTTGGACCAAGCAGCATATGTGTTTTGAATAAAACTATGAACTCAAGAGATTCTTGACATTCTTGAGCATAATTTATTACCAACTATTGACAAATATTAGAGATGATCACTGTATTTTCCAGCAACATAATGCACTGCCACAAATTGAAAACATCAATGAATAGTCAGAGGATCATAATATTCATGTCTTCAAATGATCTGCTAATAGCCCTAATATGAGTACTTTTGAGTCACTATGGAAAATTCTGAAAGAAAAGTAAAGAAGATGCCAGAAGAAACCAGACAATGACTGTGCTGGAGGAAGCCATCATATCAGGTTGGAACAAAATCCCTTTGAATGCTTGTTCAAAACTCATTGATGCCAAGGCATATCAATGCCTTTATCAATGCCAAAGGAGGTCTAATGAAGTATTCTTTTAAATTTTTGTATGTCAAAGACATGTGTAATTCTTTTGCTGAAAAATGGACATAGTCACTTTTGTAAAAGTATTGATATTTATTTATGAAAAAGATTTCATGCAATTTCTTTTGCGTTATTAGAAAGCTATAATAAATTTTCATAAAAAATAAAAATTATATATTTATTATTGAACATACAAAGACAAGGTGAAAAGTTCTCAGCCTAGTAGTGAAAAAATGAGTTTTTTTATTTTTAAAATACATTTTTGTGTTTCATTTTCCTTTTATACGAAATCATCACGTTGTCATTAAAAATATTGCAAAATGCTGTAACAGCAAAAGAAATGATACACTTGTCCACTATCTTGCTGAGAATGGAATTATGGGAACTAAGCACTTCGTACAAAGTTGGAATGTCATTGAAGACGTCAAATTGTTGATGTTATCAATTTTCAACATTCGTGTTGAAAATTGGAATGTCCTGTTTGGTTTGTTTGGAGGGACCCCCAGTCTTGTAACTTATTTCTTAATGTAGTCTCCCTTTAGTTCAATACACTTTGTCCAACGTTTCTCCAATAACTGTATTCTGTTCCTGAAGTGCGATTCTGGAAGGTTCTTGAAGATTCTGGAAGGAATGGATATTTTGAAGATTCTTCAAAATATCCATTTACTGCTGCTATCACCTCTTCACTTGACCCAAAATGTTTTCCAACCAAAAATTTCTTAAGATTTGGGAATAGATGAAAGTCAGAGGAAGCCAAATCAGGTGAATAGGGAGGATGTTCCAACAATTCATACTTCAAATCCCTCAATTTTCCTATTGCCAAAGCACCTTTGTGAGCTGGTACATTGTCCTGGTGAAAGAGGATTTTTTTTTCTTTTGCAAACCAGGCCTCTTCTCTCTAATTTTTTTCATCTAGCTGGTCAAGAAAATGTGCATAGTAATCCCCATTAATTGTTTGACCCTTTGACAGGTAGTCAAGTAAAAGAATCCCTTTGGAATCCCAAAAAACACTAGCCATAACCTTTCCAGCCAATGCAATGTCTTTGCTTTCTTTGGTGCAGAGCCACCGGGTTCTACCCACTGCTTGGACTGTTGTTTTGACTCAGGTGTAAAGTGGTGAATCCATGTTTCATTCATCATAACAAATCTGCACAGAAAATCAGTTGGATCCTTCTTAAAATGGCACAAACATTGCCAAGAAAGTTGATTCCTTGTTTGTTTGTGATCAGCATTTAGCAAATGTGGCACCCCATCTTGCACAAAGCTTTCTCATACTGAGTTCTTTGTGTAAAATATGCTGTACCCTTTCTTCTGAGATGCCTACAGCCTTAGCTATCTCATACACCTTTAATCAGTGATCATCTAGAACCATATTGTGTACGTTGTCAATATTTTCCTCGGTAGTTGTAGTTTTTGGCTGTCCTTTCATGGATCATCTTCAATTGATGTACAACCATATTTAAACTCAGCTGCCCGTTTTTTTACTGTTGATAACAAAGGTGCAGACTTGTTATACACTTTTACCAACTTTGGATGAATTTCTGTTGGTGATAAACCATCCAAAACAAAGAATTTTATGGTGGAATGGTATTCAAGTTTATTCATTTTGTCAAAAACACAAAAAATGCTTACTTTAAACAGCTGTATAAAACAAACTATTTGTCTGATCAAATTCACATTTCATATTTACTTTTGCAACAAGTGTGCCACATAACAAAACAATAATTTCATTTGTATTAGTGCCATCTAAGGGCTAGGCCGAGAACTTTTCACCTTGCCCTCATATTTGTTTAAATGATGCACATATGTTTGTAAGTAATGCATCTGAGAGTGAGACAGTCTAATATTAATATTTATAGCCACAGGTTATACAGTATTATCAAATAATTCTTATTTATGTTAAATGAAAAGTTCCTTTTGCTTGTAATAAATTAGAGTTTGTTGTTAATTATATATTAATTTATAGTTTACAAAGTTTAACTTCATATACTGGTATGGTAAAATAGGAATGATTATAATATCCTCTATAATAAAATTTATTTTTAATACATGTTGAATTTTTAGTATATATTTAATTTAAACTATAATAACAAATTCGGAAAAGATAATTTGCTCTGAGTGATAAAGAATTTTTGAACAAACATATCATTTTTATGGTTTATAAGATATTTGTTAGAAGAGCATTAACATTTTACACATGAATGCTATGCTTTAGATAATTCCTTACATATTAAAAAATATATAGCAGATTTTTTTTTCTGAAAACAAAAAAAATAAAGTTCTAGATTATCAAGATGACATGAACTCATTTGATTTTTATATTTAGCTGATAAAGTAATCTATTCAAGATGTTAGAAAGTTTTAAAATACAGTATCTTACATAGCATAAAAAATCTTTTAATACTATTTGTTTAAAAAATTTTAGGTTTTATGTCAAGACATAGATAAATATTTGGATGTAGTGAATGAAATAGCCTATGAACCAAAGTTATCAAAAACTGATGGTAATGAAGACAATATCAATGAAAGTAAGTACTGCTTATTTATGAAATCTAAAAAACATTTTTATTTCTTTAAATAAAAAGATTTGCAAGTCACCAAATCAGATTTGGTTGCATATGAACTGCTAAATATCTCTAGACAGTATTTAATACAGGTATTTTAATTATAACACCTGGTATTTTATCTATTTAATTATGCCATAGAAGAAAGCTAATTTTGAAAATTGTAATATATAGATAGCTTTTAAACCAAAATAAATATTTTTTCACAAATTTTTCTATATTTCTTTTGATATTATTATTTATTTACATAGAATTTTATTGCATTTGAAATGATAGAAATTACAAAGTAGAGTTTTTGTTAGGACTATTTACTCTGTAGAGTGAAAATATTTTATTAATTGTGCTTTCATAAATTTCATTAAAAATTTAAGTTTATGATAAAATTTTAAACGGCTGTATTGGTTTTTCTTTTTAAAAAAATAAAGTACAGAATAGGTTTACCATAGTTTATATATTTCTAATGCAAAGATGATGAAAATTATTTGACTTATATCTTAGTAAATGGAAATGCAATGTTTATCTTAAATTAAATATTAAGGCACTGGCACCATCCATCAATGACATGTTTTCCTCAGATCATGATGTGGATGGATGGCCATTTCTCTGTGCATCTGCACCTGAACCTGTGATTATTTTAGCTTTGAATGACAATTCTTGATTTTTTCTGGACAGATTGTGGTGGTAAAGGGATGATGTCCCTTCACTGTACTCCACCATCTCTGCACAGCAACCTCTGATTTCCATACGTCATAACATGCAGCAATCTGTGCTTACTCCTGAACAGACAAGCAGTCAGCCATCTTTTATGCCACTGCATGTGTAACCTCTCTTGGTCACACATGCCCACACCACTAATGTGGGAATTATAAAATTCTATTGATTAATGTATATGCATACAAATTTTATTATGATTGCATTATTATTACAAAAATTATAGCAATTTCTCAATGCCTAGATACTTTACACTCACGTTGCAGTTTCAAAATCACTCTAATTCATATATTATTTTTTGAGTCATAATTAGTTAATCAAATAATTAGAAATTTTCAGATTTTACATAAAATATATTAATTTTGTATAAAATGTTTCTTTTTGTTTTAGACAATATGAATCAATCATTTCATTTCTATAGAATGAAAGCAGTTGATACTTTATCAGAACTAGGTATGTATATTTGTTATTTGTTGTATTATAATGGAACAAAATATTATTATTATTTACATATCAGAAAATGTTGAAAAGTTTAAAAGCTCTCAAAATAAAAAGTTAAATTTCTATTATTTATTTTTAATACTCATTATTAAGAGAACTTTATCAGATAGATCTTTAATCTGTCATAAATTTTGTGGCTGACAATGGTCATTCTCACAGAAGGACAATCCTGCATTTCAGTGTCTTGTCACTCAGTCCTGCAAATATTATAATGTCTTGCAAATAGAAACTGTATTATTGGTATGTTTTCAAACAACATTTTGGCACACTATTCCTGTTCTAAAATTATTGATTTCTAAAACATGAATGCATTAATGTTCTAGAAATCAATGAAGTAAATTTCAAAAAGAAGCCAACCCAAGACTTGCATTGCTTTATATTTCTGTAATAAGGAAGTATATCTCCAATTTTTTTGAAGGAGTGGAAATGTCCTTCTACAGTTTTTAAAGAGAACTTGTATTTTTTAAATTTATAAGCAATGTCCCTTAGAGCATGACATTTGTCCCTCATTTTAGATTGTGTTGTCTCTCACTGTTACAATATATGATTGATGGGACTGATTTTATTCTTTATATTCTTAAAAAACCTCATACATCTCATACTAACTTTGATTATAAAATTGTTATTAATAAGAGAGAAGTTTACATCCAAGTGTGAAGTGTAACTATTAACAATAGAAAAAATTGCATTCTCTTAAATAACATAACATATAAATCTTAAAATCTCAATGAATTTTGCTAATTTTAAATGTTTTTGATTTGAAAATTTGCTATTTAAAATCATTTTTAAACTGTAGAAAAATTAAATTTATCTCAGTGAATTGAACTGAATTATAAATACATATTTCAGTAATTACTACGGTATATATACAATTATTAAAATTAAAAACTAACAGAACTTTTAAGCAGAACTAAAAAGCAACAATAAACAACTTGTTTATTGCCTTATAGAAAAAAGTGTTATTTTTAATTAAATTAAAGAGTCAAAAGAAAGCATCTTTTAAATAGTGATTTTTATAAAAGAATTTAGAATTTAAAAAGTGGATTTAAGCAGTTGTGCATTTAATTTATATTAAAGTTTATCAGAGATTGTATAATGAATGAAATCTATTCTAACTCAATATTTGTATTATTTTTATATTACAGAAGAAACAATTGCAGCAGCTGATCCTCACAAAGTTCGTCATCCTGGACACGATTTAAGAATTTATTTACATTATTTGATGCGCACTGGGGTTCTTGTAGGAATTGATTCAATCACTGTTCACAGATTTGTAGATTTATATGAACATGCTCGACATGACCCGTCTGTAAGTTACATTTTAATGAAATTCTAAGACTTTATTTGTTTAAAAATGTCTGTATTATATTTACTATGTCTATATTGATCAACCTATTGTTATTTAATACACAGTGCATTCTTGCTAATCCAACTTATTATTTTACATCATTGTTTGGATTAATGAAAAGTTCAGATTAGTGGGGTTGTATAAACTATTATTTATTGTTATTGTACGGGAGAATCTGTATTTCATTTTTTCTGTGGGAGGGTGCTTTGACTCGAGTTGTTGTGGATCACACCAGTAGTGTTCGTCACTCTTTTGTTTAGTCTGTACTGGATTCAGGAGGAATCCTATCTGTGTAGCATGCATTTGATTTGAGCGAGTTAAATCAATAAAGACCATTTTATTGTTGTAATATTTGTGAATTCACGTTACAGTTCATTTTCACTGTAAACAGGGGTTATATGCAGAGAAAAAGAAGCCAAAAAAAGAATTATAGACAAATACCATCAACTTGCATTAATATAAATTGCTAGGGAAACAATAGTTAGTTCACTTTATCATATATTTATATTCTCAAAGTCAAGTTCAGGGTTGTATAATTTATGGGTTAACGATTAATAGGCAATCAAAATCACTAAATTATAATATTTTGAAATAATTTACTAAATAATAATTAATTTATTTACAAAATAAATTAATTATTTTTATTTATTATTATTTGGATCATTAATTTATTTACAAAATAAATTAATGATCTAAATGATTTTCAAATCAAACAAAATGAGGAGGAGATGGTATTTTGTGTTTAAGTATGGAGCAGTATATCAGAGTGGTTAAACAAGACAAAGCTAAAAGAAATCTGTGATTTTTTTTTTCTGTTAAAGCTTGTTTGAAAAAGTAGAAAATAATTTTTGGCATGAAAAGAGTAAAAAAGAAGGCAAATTTGGTGCAAAGTAGCCAAACCTGGCATGCAGCATCACTGTATGCAAAGTAGCATGATTTTGCACATGACTGTATCCATTTAAAGAGGTGAGCATCCTTAAACTTTAACTCCTATTTTCTGAGTACAGTAGAATTGTCCACTAAAACCAGTTAGAATTGCTCTACAATCAGAGCTCAAACCTATCTTTGCTTACTAGAAGGAAATTATTGTACTCAAAACAGAACATTTATTACAGTACCACTTTGCTTTTTACATTTTTTGACATCAATAATAAAATCATTATTGAAAATAGGGTTATTTCTTGGGGTTGTAAACATAATTTACAGTTTGGTTTAACGATTTCTGGTAAAATTTTTGTTTGCTTTATTGCATGAAAATTAACATTATGACAATGGCAAAAATTTGCTTTAATGCAAGAATTCACTTTATTGGTATTCATTTTAAGGCAAGTCAATTGTATATACATTTTAAAAAGTTTCATACTGCATTTGGTACATATATTTATGTTAAAATGTATATATATTAAGCTTAAGTATAATAGTCCTAAAACTCATCAAATGTATGTAAGGCTCATAAATTAGTTTCACATAATTGAAAACACACAAAACTAAAATATTTAATAAGCACTTTCACTTATTATACTCAAGATTCTTCAGAATGTTTTGAAAGACTAGCAGGATTTGATTACATAGAAGTTTTTAAATTTCAAACTTTAAAACCTATTCCATGCAATTAACTTCTGTTGTTCTTTCTAAACATCCTGAAGAAGCTTGAGTGTAACAAGTGAAAGTTCTTATTAAATATTTTAATTTCGTGTATTATCAGTTTCACATAAGTTTATGCAAAACTAATTTATGAAACTTACACGTTACATTTATAAATACATTGTGTTTAAAAAAAACAAACAAAATTGGTTGAGTTAAGTAGGGTTTGTATTAGTGTAGATTTGGATTAGTGAGAGTGTACTGTATATTTTAGTTTATATTCAGAAAATACTATATCACTTTGTACTATAAATAGATATGAAGTGGTTTAATAGACAGGATACTGCCTGTAAGGTCCAAACACATTAAAGAAACATACTTAGTAGCAGTGGCATGTCATTACATTTGATGATAGGGAAGCTATGTTTCCATAAAAATTTTAAACAAGTACTGGAAATTACAAAAATAAACAGTTTACTTTAATTGTAAAATAGATAATTGACATGAAACAAAAAAACTTGTTTTATTATTTTTTATAAACTAACTCTATTCGGCAGTTTTTTCCCACAAAGTCGTTAATTACTTTATTATAAAAATCACTTGTCGTCAATTCCATTGAAGTATTTAAAAGCTCTTTTTCTATTGAAAACTATCATGATGACAATCTTTCCTCTGACTGAGTGTGCTTTGTGAATGTATCAATTCACTTCATAGTTGAAAAACTGGACTCAACAGATTCACTGGTAGATAGTACCGTAAAAATTAACTATATTAAATCATATAATTCTTTTAGTACATCTTTGTTCAGATTGCCATTAATTATACCAGTAATATGTTTTATGTCTAAGAGTGACTTGCCAATATAGTCTGGACATGAATATAAATATTGCAATTCACTACATAATTTAGATAAATCAAAAAATTCTCCATAAAATTTTTACATAATTTAAAGAATTAAAACTTGCTTCGGAAAATTGTTTATCTAAATTATATGGTGAATTGCAATATTTATATTTGTGTCCAGACTATATTGGCAAGTCACTGTTGGGTGAGAGGTATAGCCTTGTTAGGAAGGAGGAGTGGGAGGATAGTGGGCGAAGAAAGGAGAGGGAGGAAAACATAGTAGAGGAAGGAAGGGAGAGAAAATGAGTGTCTGCTGGGATCCATATAATTACAGGNTTATGTCTGAAAATCTGTCAATATAATTATAATTAAATATAGCTTTGTAAAGAAAGTTACATAAAAATAACATAAAATATTCTTTACTTTTTAAATCTTGAAACAATCCACTTAGTCAAATCATTCCCTACGAGCAACTAATGGATAGAATCATTGGAAGCATTATACGATATTTTGGTGTGTAGCATCCATGAGCTAAACTGCCAGAGGTTGGTGCTCTGTAAAGCGCATGCGTGAATGCCTGTAATCTGGCTGCTCAACATGATTCACATATTTTCACCATGGAAGCTATCTTGTATTTGACAATATGGCACTTCCATTGGGAATATGGATATACGAATTTATATTCGAATATACAATAGCAATCTTATTACAAATTTCTAAACATGTGAAAAACAATGATAAGATACATAGTGTGGTTATAATAAAATATTAATATTAAGTAATTCAAAGTATGTTAAAATATGAAAATAATTGCACAATACAGTAGCGCCTCGATTATCCGACCCCCGATTAACCGACACCTCGGTTAACTGACCGTCCTAGTCGGCAAATTTCAAATGTCTGTTAGTGATGTGGCGCTACAATATTTGGCTATGTCTTGGCTACTTTAATATTATTTTTATGTGTTTTAGCTGGCAACACTCATTCGACCATGAAAGGGAGCCAGTATTAAACGAGGCTTAATTTTCTAATTTTTAATGATACAATAGCGATGATTATTATTTTAAAAAATTTTTGTTAGGCTTAACATCAATGAAAATTCAACGCAAAGTAGGTTAATAGCGATATACTAATTACATGGGATATAATAATATACTACACTAATAATGGATTTTTTCATACTTTTCGGTTATCCAACTTTTCAATTATCCGACTAATCCCAGTCCCCAATTGGGTCGGATAATCGAGGATCTACTGTATGTATTTATATTTTAGAAAATACAAGGGAAGTGATGCTTCCACAGCTTCCATGGACTGCTTATTAGCAATAATCTTTATATATTTAAATATTTATATAAATTTGAATGATTTATTTATTTATTTATTTATTTTTTGTTTTATAATTATCAATTCAAAACTTTTGTAATGTTTGAACTTTGGAATATTCTGTAAATTTGAGTTTGTAGATTTTTCAATGAAATGTGGTGTTCTTTAGATTGCCTGAAAATGGGCATTGAAAATTTCCAAAAACATTATTGTTTGTGGCTAAAAAGATTTTGTTGTTGGAAAATTAAGGTGTTGGTATCTTAAAACTCTAAAATATATAATTATTGAGGTAATACCATGTCAATAAATATCAGTTTTAATTGAAATATTTTTTTCAATTTTATGCAGGCATTTGGTATTGATGAGTTTACTCAATATAAATATCTCTTAAACAATTTACAAAAACAGTAAGTATAATATAAATTTTTTAATGTGCTAAGAGTTTAATTTAATAAATATAAATAATTCATAATGATACATAATTACATTCATATAATTTTGCAATATAACAAAAAAGAATATATTGAAAAAATAATTTAATTTTTTTTATACGAAAGCATATCTCAGCAACGGTATCCTCAGAGGATAGAAACAAAACAGGTTGATTCTAAAACCACAAGTGCCCTGGATATAACTAAACAATTGTCCAATGGAAATCCAATTCCAATTTTAAGAAGACATCCATCTGTTATTACAATAAAAGATTCTGATGATAAAAAAGTGAGCAACAAACAATCTCTTATTTTTAATTTAGTTTTTTCGGTGATACATATATTTAAAATATATCTTTTAAGATTTCTCCTTATCTTATTTAAAACTCATGTCTTTCTTTATAGAATGATTGTTATATTAATGATCAAACAGAACCATTAACTAGAGAGAAAAATTGATATTTATTTTGAAAGAGGCCACCAAGTGTTCTTTCTACCTCCAGTATTCCAAAATTCTGCTAATTAATAAACCTGTGTGATAAATAGATTCTACAAATTAGTTTATAGTTGAGAGAAACTTTCAAATTTATATATATACATGTATGATACTGTGTGTCTTTGTACAGTATTTTTGTTTTAAATTTCTGTTTAAATATTTTATTTATTTAAACATTAATTATTTCTGTTTAGAAATACATTTTAAAATTAGATATTATTTAAAATCATTATTACGAAAATTTTATAAATCTTATGAAAGTTTTTAGAATGAATGATATAAAAATTCATATAATTAAAGAAAGAAAATTATAAATGTTAATGATTGTATAGAGATTTTAAAAAACAATTTTTGGCTAACTAATCAGCATATTCAACTGTTTATATTTGCATGTTTTAAAAAGAATTATCATCATCCTATAATATAATTTATGTTAAATTTGATATATATATCTGCTCTTGATTAAAACTGATTTTTCTTCAGAGATAACCGAGTGACTGACTATTTGTAAGCAGATAAAACTCAGAAGTTTTGGCATATAAAAATGTCTATCAAAAGAAAAGAAAATAATATTTGCTAATAAAAAAATTTCTAAAATTCCAAATCAGATTTGGATTTAATAATTTCCATATGATATACAAAATCTTTTAGAATATTTCATTAAATTTTTTATAAAATCTTTACTTTTAATATTACATGATTTGTAATAAGTTCTGGGATTAATATCATAGCAAATATGGAAATGTTTTTAAAATTTCTTTTATAATAAATAGATTGTTAATTCAGAAAAATTTCATCAATTGAAAAATCAATTAATGAAATTTTTCTAAATTAAATTAATGTGAAAACAAAGAAACAAATATGAGACTGCTCACATTTGTTTTCATTCAGTGTCTTAAAGAACTTCATATTGAATAGCAAAATGAAATATGAGAGGATAACTATAGTAATTTTGTTTTGATATTAAGTAAAGTCTTAAATGTTTGTAGTATTTTCCAAATACAGTAAATAGATATATGCACTATGATTATTGAAAACATTTGAGTATTTTTCAGTTTTACTTGAAAAATTCTGTTTTAGCACTTCACAAATAAATTTTGGGTTAAAAAGTTTATTTTTAAAAATAATTTTACAGCTTTTGAATATTTATATATCATATTTCATAAATTGGTTGATAAAATATGCATCAAATATTTATAAATTTATAGATATGTCCATCACAAAAGTATTGTTGTTTGGTTGCATATGACATATTGAATTCATGATTATTGTATCAAATGATCAATGAAAAAAACATTATATATATTTTTTAATTTATAGACTAACTAGCAGACCTCGCCACGCGTTGTTGTGGCTCAAAATGTATCTTATTATAAATTTATAACACTTCCCCGTGGGGGGGAATTTTTCGAAAAATTTCTTCTTAGTGTACATTCTGTTGACTTACCCTATTAAAACGCAAAAACCGCATCTAAAATAGTATAAATAGAAGCAGAGTTATTTACGGTAAGCCTTAATCCTAACCATCTCCCTTCAGTGGGGGGAATTTCGACACGTATATTATATAAAAACACATGCGTATTCGAATGCAGCGTTGTGTAAAAATTTCAAAGGAATCGGTAGGAACAAAGAACATTACATTTTTATTTATATAGATAGATAGATGATGATCTGCTTTAGTTCATTTTCACAGAAAAGCATAATGCCTCACAGAAAAGCAAACTTAGGGCGTCGTGCTCGTAGCGCCATCTGTTGGACATAAAAGCCTTAACCTAGATTATATATTTTAATTTATATGAATGTTTAATGGAATAATATACAGCCTATGTCCACCCTGAGGTTCCATTCTAAATATTGGTGAAAGAATTTTTGAAATTGGATGAGTAGTTTCGGAGATTACCTGCTGCAAACATACATACATACTTACAAACATTACCTCTTTATAATATTAGTATAGATATGGTTGTTAAAGGAAAAATTTTCAAAATGAAATAGTGATATTGATGGGAAAATGAAACAGTATAGGTCTTAATTTGGTTTTCAATTAAGTGACATATTCAGGCATACATATCAATATATCAGAGAAAAAAATTTGAAGTTTCATTCCAAATCAGAAATGTAATCATACAAGTAATAACATGAACTAATAAAGGTCTTTTATTATTATGTGATCAAGGAAAATGTTATAAACACTCTTTTTACATAGTATTTGTGTCACTGTTGTGCTGCTAGAGATTGAAACTTTCCATTCTTTTTAGAATCATATTTACTATGTAGTTTTGATTTATGAGAATCATTCGTATTTCAAAATACTCTTAATATTGTTGAAAAATCAGTTTTTAATTGGCATATATCTGAGACATGGCTGCTTTATGTAGTTTTATTTCAATAATCTTAAAATAAATTACTATGAATCAAGTTTTAGCTTCCATTTCTGAATAGTAAAATTTTTTTATTAATTATGATGTATGCTACAAAGTTTCAAGTCTAGTGTTGAAAATTGTGGATAATAGAAATTTCCAATGGTTTCACTTTAAATATATCTCATATGATTTGTTGAAATGTTTTGCAAGATATGTCATGTTTTTGCTTTTGTTTGTGGTGGTGGTGGTGTTAATTCTTGAATACTTAGTGTGGTGATTTGATTGCTTTCTTTAGATTAAATCAGGCCTAAGTGAGAGTGTCCTACGCAATCCTCGTCAAAAGAAAAAATTTTGGCACACATTGTTGGAGAATATTGCTTGGGTCCTATGGAAATTGACAATGCTCAAGTATATTATACAAGTACAATTTATTTTACTGTTAAATAGTCAGATAAATACAGTAATACCCCGACTTATGCGAACCCAGAGTTACGCAATTTTCAAATCTCATCGATTCGTCTTTTGTTTGAGCGCCATGCAACTCTTGATTACTCACTCCCCCCCACACTATTGTTTGACTTACATGTTCGGACATATCGCACAGAATCGATGAATAGCTACAATTTATTTTGTGTTATTTATTTCTGTGTTTGTTATATCTATGGAGACTCGAGAGACTCTACTATGCCATCTAAACGAAGTAGAACTGATTCTTCTGCATCAAACACGAAAAGGAAAACTTTATCTTTGGAATGTAAAGTTAACATTATTAAAAACTTTGATACAAAAATGAAAATTTGTGAATTAACAAAGAAGTTTGATCTACCAGAATCGACAGTCAGAACAATTATAAAAGATAAAGAAAAAATTCTCAAAGCTGTAAAAAATGCTCAATCTTTAAATTCAAGCATCATTCGTAAACGTCACGATATTATCCCTGAGATGGAAACAATGTTAAAATTATGGTGTGATAATCAAGTAAATGTGAAAAATTGTATAACAACATAATTTGTCATACATATATATTATCTAAGATTACATTTTTCTAAATTAATCTAAGAATACATTTTTTTTTCTAAATTATTGTTTTCTTTAGTCTCTGGCCCTAATTAAAAATTATTTGTATGTATTTATATGCGAAATTATATCCTGACTTACGCGAATTCGACTTACCCAGTTATCGCTCGGTCCCACCTGTCTTGTAAGTTCGGGGTATTACTGTACATAAATCTATATAGTTAAATACATGTGAGAGAGTCTTCTGCTTAGATCTCATCTCTCTTCCTGTGGTAACTTGCAAATAGGCTCTACAAAGGTCCTTGGAAGGTCACAATTAGTGTGATCTTGAAAGTCACTATTTCTTCAAAACAGTGACTTTCCAAATAGTGACTCAAAACAACAACAGGTTTCCATATGACAATTCCCCAATGTCTCAGTTACTTCCCCAAATTTTTCCAACTGATTGACCTCTTTTCTCTCCGATTCTTTTGTGTTTCTCCTCGTTCCGATCATCCCTCTTGGAGGCATTAGCCAAAAGCTTTGTAAATTTGGTGTCCTGTCCTCTTTAGAGACCAACTGGAAATTTTTGTTTACTATTCCTGGTTAGGAGGAGAATGATGACTTGTTGTCATTATTACAAGGGATTATCTCAATAACAACTGAGAGATTTCCACAATGACAGAAGTTTAATTTAGAATTACTTTTAAAATTTAGAAAGAGAAGAAAGTAATTTCTTCTACCATGTAATCTATAATTTATCTCATTCTAATTTTGTGAGAGAATTCTCACAACAGTATTTAAATTATGTCGTAAATTAATTTTTAGCAAAGAGTGTTGCATAAATGTAAATTCTTACTTAAAAAAGAAAATTACATTGCTGAAAATATAATTCATAGTCAATGTCATAAAATTTTATATTACATGTAATGTTTACTTCAAATGAGAAAGAAAATAACAAAAGTAATTTACAAAATAAATAATACTGAATTAAATAGCTATCAAAACAATTTATAGATGAAACATTTAGGAAGAGTTTACAAAAGAAGATATAAATCATCAATATTTCTCTTGAATTATTTTAAAATTTAAAAGAAGAAAACATAATCTATTTTTTAATTTTCAACTATGTTAGCAATTAATTCTATAAATAATATAATAATGCTGTTGTGTATATTTATATAGCTAGATATATACAATTGTATTAAAGATTAATATACGTAATTTCATAATGTATGTTGATCTTAAATATAGTAGTAAACATTTGACCTGTGAATTTTTTAACCTATCCTATGGTCACTAAGACAGAAAATTATCATATTGTCATTACATAGAAGACAGAATTAAATTTTCTTGTATATTGATTATTTAAAAATTCATTGGATTTATCATTGGGTATTATAACACAATTTAAAAAAACAAAAAATCTGCACAAACTTTTTGATCATTTGATATTTGAATGATACAATTGGCAATACATTATACCAATTAGACAAGAAACTTGGATTTAAATTTCACTCCAAGTCACTAAATTTCTGATTAAATTATTCCAAATTCACTCATTTTAAATATAATTTAAATTTTTTCAATGTATTATAGCAATTATTCACATTGTAGAAGCTTGAATTTCAAAATTGCTAATCCACTGATTAATATTGAAATTTCAATATTTTGATTATTATAGTATGGTAGGCCCTCAATTTAATGGACTAACTGGTGGGAAAGGGTATCTGTTATTGCCAAAAGTTCATTAAATTTAATTGTTTTAAGAATATACA